GTTCACTGAGTTCAGGAAGGAAGATTTCAATGTGAGGGTAGGGATTAGAGGATTTGGATCCCATCATGTAGATGATTGGGATGGATGGAGAAACGATCAAAGAGATTTTTGGTCTGGAGAGAAGGTTTGGTAACAGGTTGTGTTACCCTTTGATATGTTTGATACCAAAATCAAAGTTTAAGAACCATTCTGCTTCATCTGAGAAGTTGAGAGTTTGGAATTTGTTTTCTCTTAAAAAAGAGCATTTTTTGGAAAAGCGACATGTCCATTTTTACCAAGAATTTATATCCAATAAGGTGGAATTGAAATTTTTCAATTTTCCTTTTTATTGCAAGTATTTCTTTGAAGGTAGAATGATAGTGCTTTTCGGATTCTGAAAATGAACCGCTTTTATATCCACAAATTCTTCAAGTAAGACTGATGCCCAAAACCAACCACTTGCATCTGTTTGAATGATGCATTTTCCATCTATAGGAATTTGCAGAGTCGGAAGATCATTGATTTTCTGTTTAATGGTTTTGATTGCTTGAGTTTGAGCTGATGACCAAAGATGAGAGTTTTGTTTGAGCATGAGTTGTAACGGCTGGATTATTGATGAGAGATGATCAATAAAATCTGCCATGTAATTAACAATTCCAAGAAATTGCTTAGCTTCCTTTTTTGTCAAATTTTCATCTGAAAACTTGAGAAGTTCTTGGCCAACATAAAGCTAACGTGAATACTGACCATCTTTAATATACATGTCTAAGAAATTAGCTTCTTTAACTCCAATCACAATTTTCCTTTAAGAAAGCGTAATACCATAATGCTTAACAAGATATGTGAATCTGGAGAGTAAACAGGCATGAGAATCTTTATTTTCAGAGAATAACAATATATCATCAATATAGACCAAAGCTGTATTCAATAATGGATCAAAGATTCTTGTCATGGCTTTCTAGAAAAAAGAAGGTGTGGTCTTTAAACCAAAGGACATAACCGTCCATTGGTAATGATGGTTTGGGATGCAAAATGCTATTTTGTGTCTTTCTTCAGATTTGATTCCCAACTGTCAAAAACCTGCCTTAAGATCAAATTTTGAGTAAATTCTTGCTCTAAACAGATTTACAAATATAGTCTTTCTGTCTAGAAGA